GGGGGGGGGGCAAACAGTCAAGTAGTTGGCTCTTGGTCTTGATGTAAGGATAGCCAGGGTGCAGCAAGGTCTTTATGTCGAGAGCTAAGTATTTTACCCTTCTTGAAGTATTACTAACAGTAAGTGCAGATTTAGTGGTCTGCTCAGGAAGCTGTTTATAATTTATTTCATTTCTTTTCAGACGTTGTGAAACAATTACTTGATAATAAATGGCCACAACAGCAGCAGCCAGGTAAAGGTGACTTTTGGACAATTAAGAGTACAGTTATCCCTCAAAATAATGATTTATTTTGATTTTGGATCTTCTTGTTAAGATCATGATATCATTATCTTTCAAATGTATATAGGGCTGTGATCTAGCAGTGTCCGGTGGCCCCTGGTGCCTTAATTTTGCTCTAGGGCGACTCAGGAATCTTAGTTTTTTCATAAAAAGCATTTGCTGGGCACCCTGGATTTCAGTTTTAGAACACTGGGCTCCCTTCAATTTTTCTTAGAGCACAGCCTTGGACTGTAAATGCTTGAAAGTATCAGCTGTAGTGATTTACATTTTTCATGAAGATATAAATGAATAAATTATAATATGTTGTAATTTTGATTGTGTCAACAAGTTTGTCTGTGACAGAATTCCCAGGTTTATTCAGATAATTTCTTTGGCACCCTCTTTGAGCTAGTATTTTTTCTAATCTTTTGCCAAAATTTCTTCAAAAAACACAAATTACAGAATGGTACATACACTGTGGATAGTGATTTTCAGTACGGCTAGCTACTTTTGATAAGCCTGAGTTAAAGCTTTGGGCTGCCTTGTTCAGAGCTGGTTTGAGGTAGCCCAGGGTTAGTGTGAAATTTGATTTCAGATATGAATGCTTTAAATGAAAATTCAGTTTGTTTTTGTCTACAATTTGATGATTGGATGCTCTAAAAAGAAAAGGGAGACTTATCCCAAAAGGCTTTTGTACGGATGAATAAAGAAATCAGGCTCAGAATTCAACTCTGGCATAGCACCAATCAGCCTTCAAAAAACTGGGCCTTTCCTGCTTCCTGAAAAAGATCTCAGAAATTAAATACTTTCTTTATAGTTTCAGAGAGTGTCCCTGACTCCCTCATAGCAGACCTTTCTCAGAAAATTCCCAACGAATGGAAGGTGTTGGCAAGCTATTTGGGTTTCAATACTGATCATGTTGCCACTTTTGATCAAGAAAATACCATCATTGCTGAAAAGGTTATTGCCATGTTCAATGCATGGAAACATAACCAGGGAGCAAATGCAACTAGGAGGAAACTGATGGCTGCTTTGAGAAGAGTTGGAAGGAGAGACTTAGCTGAAAAAGTTTGCACCTACCAGCAGGAATGATTTTCTTTTTGTGTGGGAGAGAAGGTACAAAGAGGACAGGGAACGGAAAGTGAGAGACTGCAAGATTTCAAGCCTACAGGGTTTGTACAGGTCCTGGAAAATCTGGAATTTTATTTTGACATTTTCCAGGACTGGATAGTCCTGGTAAAAGACTACAGGTTCTGGGTAGTCCTGGAAATTTGCTAAAAATCAAGCTATAAAGTTTCTCAGAATTTACGTTTATAAGAAGTGTGTTTAGAAAGTAAGGAGAATTGATTTTGAAGTCTTGAGAATGAAAGGATTAAATGTGAAATTTGAAGTCCTGGAAAAATTAATCTAGGCCTGAAAAAGTCCTGGAAAATTCCTTCAAATTTGTTTTTGAAAAAGGGTACAAACCTTGGTCTACTGTTTGTAGAAATATTAACTGGATGAAACTAACTGGCATTTTTGTGTGAGGGGTGTGTTAAAACTTAACTATTTACTTGATTCTAGGAGACAATTTATTTGTTTCATGAGAAAAGGATTGTGAGACATTTGGGCATGTCAAGGAAGTTAGGAATAATTAACTTTGAATAGTTTATTTAATGAGATATAATAATTTTGTTCTATAATAACAATGACTGATAGACACAGAGGAAAAATATAGATTTCAAGTTGAGTTCTGAAAGATGCCATATTTTATTTGATGCTGCTTTTTTTAAATGGTTTAATTAAATTAGTTTTCTATTATTTTATTGACCTGACAGGAAATTAACCAGCTTTGTGGATATAATTTCAGGAGTATCATGCCACTTGCAAGAGCGCAAAAAGAAAAAAACATCTGTGCATGTTAGGAACTTTTGCAGGCTCATGCTTGAAACCATAGCAACAGGCTAAAATGCTGGAATTTTGAAAATTTTAAAAGGGGTGCAGTTTTCTCCCTCAGTTAAGACTAAAGAAGAGAAAACTTTTTCTTCAGACTGTCTTTCAACAGGAGCACAAAATACATTTTGGACACCTTAGCCATGTTGAGGTCTTGACAGTAGTAAGATTTACAGGGTATAGCTTGTGTTAGTGTAATTTGTAAATCTATAAAGGCTCACAAAATGAAGCAACATTATTTTTTGCAAACCTTTTTGTCTCTTTTTTGTTTTTGCTGCTGTATCTGAAGAAATTAATTTTAATTTATTTAGTAATTCATTTTCATAGAAAAGAAACATAAGAAAATTAAGTTATAGTATAGGGAAAACCTTGGTTGTAGAGGAAACTAAATTAGAGATGGTGTTATTAACTAAATAATATCTTGTTGCAGCTGTGTCTTTAATTAAAGGGAAAGTAAGATAAGCTAAAATTAAGTACTACAGAGGTGCTTGCTGGTGCTTTAAAGGCATTGGATAAATTAGGTCCTGAAACACCTCTGCTTATGACCAGTCCTCACTCAGTCTTTTTCTTTCCATGAAAAAAGCTGGATGACTGTTGCATCTCTTCAGTTTGTTAATTTTGCCTCTAGCAGTGATTTTGAAAAGGGCCAGGGCAACTTTCATCACTAACTCACTTTGGATTTTCTCCAACAAACATGTTGTAGCACTGAAAAAGAATAAAATTGTATTATTTTCCATGACCAAATCAAGGAAATTTCAGATGTTTTCAATGCCCTGGATTGAACAAGCCTATTAGAAGTGGACTTACTTGACTGCGAGAAGCAAGGGTAAATCATTTCTGGTTTTCTGGTCTGTCCTGATCACCTGTGTGATGGGCCATTACAAAATGGTGACAACCCAAAGTAATTCATTTGTTCACCATTTTCAATTGTTGAATTCACAGTTTCAGTTACAATTTATACTTGAAAACAGCCTGGCTCATATCAAAGTCCTCTCTTTTACTATAACGTGTTGATTGTCCAATATGCAATTGAAAAAGGCAATTTTAAGTCTCACGGTAATTAGGGTATTATTATTATTATTATTATTATTATTATTATTATTATTATTATTATTATTATTATTATTATTATAGCAAGACATGGAAGTAAATTCAGAACACGACAAGAACAGCTTATTTATTGATTTACTTTTCAAGACACCACAAAAGTCAAGTAAAAGATGTTACTGGGAGCCCTTCAGAACTCCATTTTTCTCATTTTTTTGTGCACGAGGCAGGGTCCAGATGGTAAACTTCCTTGGACAAGTAAGGAATAAAAGGAAAACTCTTGTTTTTAACTGTTTTGATGTTGTTTTTTTTGTTGTTGTTTGTTTCAAAGTCTCCTTTCACATCAAACAAATGTTTCCCACAGGAGCTTAAATTCAAAGAAAAAGATAAGTCAAACAAAAGAAGTCAATCCATGCAATAACCCTTCATTTTTGACAGCAAGTTTACCAGAGGGAATGACCTTTTGATCCACTTTTCTGGATGTGTCCTAACAGAATACATGTAAGCTTTCATGGACAAAAAAAACAAACATTGATAAAAATGCAACAACTGCATTTTGTAAAATACTTTCCTATCCGAGGTAAGCATGCGATTTGTGAACATTTTTATTTTGAAAGCAGTGAAGCCAGAGGGTATTCTTTCGGTTCCTGACAGAGAGTTCCTTATTCTTTGAATGGCTCAAGGTGAAACTCAAGTGAAAAAGAATATTTCCTGCAGCAGAGAGCACATAAAGTATATAGTAACTACATTCCTCTGTTTCCTATCAAGTCCAGCATGTTCTTTGCACTAAAACACAACTACTTTTTGAAATACCTACTACAGACTCTTGACATATCAAAATGACCCAAATTTTTTTAACGTTGGATGACACTATCCACAAGATAAATTGCTATCTAGCTGGCAGTGTGGTTTGTGCTGTAAACACATATACTGTGCCCAGTGGGATAGCATTACCCAGCCTTTGAACAACCAAGTCTGATTGAAAACATGTCTGGCATGCCTCAACTCTGCCATTGAATTTTACCCTAAAAAGCTAACCTGGATAGAGTTGGGGAGCTCAACTAACCCAAACGCTAACCCTAACCATTGGGTTGTCGAAATGAACCTCCCAGAGAAATGCTGACAAATACTTAGTAAAGATCTAAAAACTGGAGCATGTTTCCATCAAAAAGCATGTTCAGCTCACTCCAGCTGCCTTTCGTTTCCTGTTTTTCAAACTTTTATCAGTCCCACCAGTCGTGTCCTGCTTCTTCCTGCCATTTTTTCTCACAAACTCTGCTACATCAAACTTCCTCTTACAGCCATTATAGTTCATGTAGCGGATCTTTCCAAACACTGGTCTTTCAGCCCAACCTTGATCATGCACTCCACATACTGACCACATGCAACCTTAAGGAAATTGGGAAAGACATTTACTAACAACTCTACAATAGGCCCATAGGATAGAGCTTTTACTCCACCAAACCTCACACTTGATTCACAATACAGCATCAATGAAAAACAAAATGAGTCAATAATGATAAGCTTATTGACCACTTTCATAAATGGCTGCCTGATTAATATTCTTTTGTTTAAATTTAAATTAGCCTTTCTGGCCTCGCTTGAGATAATGTATTCTTTTGAATTTTGAACTGGAGAACGAGGCCAGAAAGGCTAATTTAAATTTAAACAAAAGAATATTAATCCAGCAGCCATTTATGAAAGTGGTCTATATATGGAGCAGTTTCATGTTTTATGTTGCAAAACCTAAAAAGCTGCTCTGCCGCGACACTCTCGACCCAGTCATCTCACTTGGGTTCAGATGTGAATTTGACTTCTGTTTAACAATTAACTTCCTGCATGGGAAAACCAGACACTACATATACATGCAACATTGTAAATGTAATAACCAATACTTACCCACATATCCATTAGGGTCATTCCCATCCAGACTAAACCTGTCATTAAGGTAAAGAGACACCTCTAGAGCCTCTTCAGGGGTGGCTGTCCACTCCAGAATTTTCTTTGCCCAGTACATTCTTAGGAAACCATGCATTTTGCCTTCACTAACCAACTGAAGCTGATACAAGAAAAGACAATTCTTTAACAAAAGATTACTTCAGAGGAATTTACCAAACTGAAACTTTCACTTGCACTAAGCAGTGAAGTGATCAATTTCAGGAAAAAGTAGTACTGTAAAATGTTTCGCATTACTTCACACAAGTTACTGCCTTACGTTTAGCTTGGTGAACCACTGAAGACTTTTCCAGACAGTTTTTATTTGTTTCCAGACTTGGAAAATAAGTCATACGACATAGTTTGGGCAAATACAGCAACCTCCTACAGTTGGGTACACTGTATTGCTTTTTATTTTGAATCCCAGGCAGCACTTTAATTATAATTTCATTTTTATCATCATGGAGATAATACTTCAACAACATACCTGGGCAGCATTCCACAGGTCATCATGTGTGTTCCCATCTTCAAGCTCTTCTCTTGTGTACAAATATTCCCGTTTATCCTGTGCATGGTCAAGCAGAGTCTTCTGTGCCCACGCATTTGTTCCCTTGATGGAGTCATAATTCTCCAAGTTGTAAAAGCAAAAATTATCAGCTAATTCTCTCCTAACAACCGCTTCTTCGATGAATGCCTCAACAGAGTCTTTAGCCTTGCTGCGGAATTCTCTTACTCTGAGGATTGCTCTCTGGACACTTATGTGACCTGTCAAGGAAAGTGCAGTTACTACAGATTCTAGTACGAATCAAGGTCCTTCTCTTACAGATTGAAAATGGTGTTTCAATTTATCCAAAAATTTAAAATGGATGCAGACAGGTTAAGTTTTAAACTGTTCTGTTTGATGTACAAAACCAACTCATTTGTATTCAGACTTTTTCTGCACAAAAAGATTGTTCAACTTATGGATATCTTCTATCTTAAGTAACAGTGACAAGGCATTATGTACGTTTAAGTCACGGTTGCTGGAGATGTCATGTTTTACCGTAAGCTCTTCAAACAAGACTGGAATCATGTTAATAATAACTCTGACATCGATACAACGGCGAACTCGCTGCACTCCATCTTAGAGAAATTAATGAACAAATGTTTTCCTAGCAAATTGATTCAAATGTCTTCCAGAGACCCTCCATGGATGAGTCCGGTCCATTAGTGAAATTGCTCTTGAGGAAAAAACAAGATCTCGAAAAAGCAGCGGGAGACACCTAGCTGAACTGACGGAGAAGATAGGACGACTAATAGCTGAAAATCGCCAAGCTTTAGCATCTGGGGAACTTGGAGTGCTAGCCTGGTGGAAAGCTGATCGACTGTCCATGCGTAAAGACAAGGATTTCATCATTGGTTTAAATGATTATTTTGGTGACATTTGCTTTCATAGAGAATATTCTGAACCAGTTCCTGCCAAGATTGATGCGAACACCCCTGCTTCACAACTATCTACATTTCAAGTGTTTATTGCCCTATCACAAATAAAGAGTACTACCACCGGACCTGATGGGATTCCTTTCTGGATATGGAAAGATTATGCTGAGATATTTACCCCAGTAATTGTGAATTTATGGAACATGTCTCTTGCTTGGCAGATTTGGCCAAGCCGTTGGAAGGAGGCTAACATCAATTCACTCCCAAAAGTCGAGACACCAGTCGAATACCCGGACTTAAGAGGAATCAATGTTACTCCAGTTATTGCCAGAACATTTGAAAGAACAGTATATAACATTTTTAACAAGAGGTGCCTGGAGCAACATCTGAATCACTCTCAATTTGCGTACCGCTCAGGTGGAAGTTGTGTCAACGCTCTGTTGAAAATGCAGCATACTTTTCTTGCGGCATTAGATAGAAGGGACACCTTGGTGGTGAGAATGTTTATGATGGATTTTTCAAAAGCCTTTGATAACATTAAACACCATCTCCTAGTTGAAAAGCTGAAACATAGTCCACTTGATTCATGCATTGTTAACTGGTATGCCAACTTTCTTGAAGGCAGAAAACAGAGGGTGATTTTCAATAATTTGACTTGCCTGTGGAGAACTGTCAAAGAGGGAACAACACAGGGAAGCGTCAGTGGGCCATATCTTTTCAACATATTTTTGAATGACCAAGATATAGATGGGTACAAAGATATATCCTTGTTTAAGTATGCAGACGATTCAACCGTCTTAGTCACTATTACTAAATATTCCCCGGATATATCTGACGTTGCCTTGTCCAAGTTTATGGATTGGTCTGTTGCAAACAGCATGGATTGGAACACTATTAAGTGTAAGGAGCTAGTTATGCATAAGAAAGGCAATTCAACAGTCTACCCAATGTCTCACAATATCCAACAATTTAATAACATTTCTTTGTTGGGCGTCACATTTCAAGGTAATTGTAAGTTCAGCATGCATGTCAAGGCCAAGCTCCATGAAGCCAACAAGTGTTTATTTGTCATCAGAAGCCTACGTCAAGAAGGATATACACAAGACGAAATAGACCACCTCTTTAATTCAATAATGATGCCTAAGTTATTATACAGTCTTTCAGTTTATGCTGCAAGTGTTTCCGAACTTACTGTTATACAAAGGTTTTTAAAAAGATGCTATAAGAGGCGCTATACATTAGTCAATTACAACATATATGAACTTTTGGAGAAAAGCGACAGACGCCTTTTTTATAACCTCAAACATGATGACCATCCATTAAAAAGCCTACTCCCAAGGTACAAAGACTATTGTAAACATTCGTAGGAAATCTATTGTCAGGCCCGAAAAAAACTGAACGTTTTAAACATAGCTTTTTTAATAGATTAATTTTTAAATATAGTCTAGCTGCGTAAACACCCCATATGTATTTCTAATCATTTTTATTTGATTTAATAACTGTAATTTTTCCCATCAATATATATTTTCACTGTAACATCAGATATGTAATTTTATCTGATGGTTTTTGTTATATCATGACCTTGTTTTGTTATAATTGTTGTTACATTATATTAAGTTACGTCATAGTTATGTTATGTGTACATGGATGCGGCTGCTCAAGAAAGAATAGGAATAAAAGGAATCTTGGAATGTTCATGTTCATTGCTGGTTTGTTTATATTTTCGTCCATGAATTTCCTAAGATACAACAGTTTTTTAATGAAGACAAATTTATTTATTTATTTATGTGTCACAGGTTTTTAAGATTACTACAACACCACCACAACAAGAAAATTAAGATAACATCAAATGATTATGTTTTCAGGGAAAGGAAAATTTGAACAAAAGTTTGGCAAAAACTAATACATGGCTATAGTAAGTAAAGTTACTAAATGTTGAATATTGTACTTACCTGCATGAAACCATGGCGATAAGTTGCTCAAAGCTTCCTTTGTTGGATTGTTCCTATCTGTTGCAAAATACTTGAGCCTGCTGTCACAGAACGATTCTAACATGTCCAGACCAGCCTTGGTTCCTGCTTTTGCCCAATCAACATCTTTGACAGCACGATCAACTTCAATGAAATTATCTACAGCTTCCCAATCTACTACCTTTGGAAAGTTAACATGATAATTCATCTTTACAAACATACACTGGAAGGCTGGGAAAGATATGCAAACTGAGAAAATTTTCTAATATTGACATAGTAGGAAAAAAGCCCCTAATCTGTAAACTCTACAAGCATATATCTAAGTAAGTCCCCATGCTGAGAGTGGTGACTTCAGCTTGATGTACTCCACTGTATGTCCTCCTAAAATTTTACACCATTTTTTGTATCTAATGCTCTTATCAATTATGCCTAATAGTCTATAGGTTACTTAAGCAAATGAAAGTTCAAATCTTTTGTCCTCTTTGAATTGTGTTAAACTTTGCTCACAACTAAAATTGATTGAATTGTTAATTTTGGACATGCCTCAGTCATTTGAAGCAATGCAGGGTGAAAAGACTGTTTTTCACACCCATCAGACACACAGTAGAGATACAATAACTATCTCGTGTCCAAAGTTGTATTTTCCATCCAAAGAGTAAGTTAAAGGTCTAGTATGGTAGTTAAGTTACCATATGGACCTCAAATTTGGTAAAAAGTGGCATTTCTCTTCTTTGCATAAGAAACAAGTTTTTGTTTAAAAAATTGAAGGATTGTATGGATAGAATGATTCATGAGAACACTGTTAACTCTACATCTTTGTGACAGAAAATAAAACTGATTGAATATTAGAAGATGGAGAAATACACACAGGTCTCAATCACTGAACAAAATTAGTGTAATTTAAAATTAGATAAAAGGTGAAGGGACATAAGGCAGACACAAGAATGGAGAGCAAGTTGCCATGGATCTGCACCATGTTCAGGAAGAGTGGTAATCCACTTGATCATTTCCTCACTTCTAGCTATTGATAACCAGGATGAGCACTGATCTTATTGCCATACTTAATGTTTGGAAATTATTTAAACACAAAGGCGCGCTATAAAAGGAGCCTTAGGTCCCACTGGACCATTTGTCAATCAACTGTCGTGTGATGTAGAACTCTTAGAGTCAAGTCAGCTTGAGCTACAGCTACTCCAAAGCAGTGAACAGCGCGCGCATTCCTCAAAATTGTTTTATGTCTTTGTCACAATACAAGAATTGTTGAGAATTGTATTTCCTTTCTCCAATGGAAACTGTCTTTATTTGTGGCAGTAAATTTGAGATTGAAGTAGGTGGTTCACACGTTACCTCATGCCACCATGCTGGTGGAAGTAAACAATAGATATCTCATTAGCTCCTTTTGTTCGTCTTCCAGCATTTAAATTTGACCCACACATGTCAATGGTGAGTGACAAATGAGCCTAGGTCTTCCCAGTGTTGGGAATTAGATAATTGCCTGACAACACAGCGGTTTTCCCGATAAACCCGCGCTAAAATCAGTCACTCACAATATAATTTTTAATAGACATTTTTCTCTCACAATGTGCCGAGTTTTTTTTACAACACATGTGGTGTATTTTAGAACAAAGGATATACAATCTGTGAATGTTTCCTTTGATTGGTTACAGTTACTAATGATGACAGATTCGATGCCTATCCCCTTCCGGTGGACTAAACAATGAAATTTTAAAAGCGTTTAAAAGGTTTGATTATGTAAACACACGATTTCCGACACCAGGGAAGACTTCCTTATCTAGCGCGCCTTCGTGTTTAAGGAAAACCATCATGAGGGCAGATACTGTAATGGTAATTGTAAAGCTAAGACATGGTAAGTACTGTGAACAAATAGAATTTAATGATACCACTGGTAGTACAATTTCCTCTCACCTTAACTTCATAGTCTCCAGCATGTGGATGTTTAATTACCGGTGGGAATTCTGTAAGAAACTGCTTTAACTGGTTGTGGATTTTAGGGCGAATGGTTCTTGCACCATACTCTAACTTTGGAGAGGCTTGCCAGCAAGGCACAATGTTATGGCCATCTACCTGTAAATACGAGATAAAACAATACACATAAAATTATAATGTTAGATAGTTCTCTAGACTAGACAGTGATTCCCCCGAGAAACCAAGAGACGCAACGCTGTTACCATTATATTCTTGTTAATACTACTCTTAGTACCACTGAGTCCTCTGGCTTGCTGGATTTTGCTACAAGGCTATCGAACAACCATTCAAGTTTTTATTGATTTCAAGTTAACATAATTTAAATTGGAACAAACAGTGATTTGATTTGTATTTTCACTTGTTCAAGGACTATGGTTCTGTGCCTGGACCAGAAAAACAACAACAACTCAAGCCACAAAAGATTACCAACACCAGTTTCTGATGAGCCCCTACAAAGCAGTCATCCCTTGAAGGCTAATTGCCATTTGCTTCTTGGTGGCAGAGAAATGAAGGTTTTACTGGGCCCCTGGGGCTTTAAAACACAAACCTGACAAAGTGGAACATTTTTTGGCAGCTTCTTAGCAATATCTTCCAGCCATTTCAGAGGTCTCCTCAAAGGTGTAAAGTCTGCTACAACACCACCAATTTCTTTGGATTTCACAAAATCTGGAAGGACCTTGTCTGGTTCACCAAGAAGCACATGGAATGCAATATTCAACTCTGTCAGCTCCTAGAATGAAATACTGTACAAAGTCATGGAAAAATACAATTATAGTGCTTCAATTACATCTGATGGACACATTTGAGGGAGTGTCCTTATGAAGAAGGGATAATCATTGTTGTTGTACAATGTATGATCCATGCTCTTTTAATTGAAAAACAATAGCAAAGAATCCCAGTGTGAAGGCCACAGGTGATGGCCCAAGCAGGGCAGGAGAAAGCTGTACATGCAACCTTATGTATGACCACAAAAGATGCAAAACAAAAGAAGACAGAAAGAAAGAGCAGTGGTCATATTACAAAATGCTTTTGATATCCTGATATCAGACCAACAGGAAAAGATTGAGCTCTTGGTGTTAATGTATGAACTTTGCCTCCTTGATCAATATAAATTATTATGATCTAGAGCCAAATACATTCCTGTTCCACCCACCAATCAGTCAAAAAGTACATGGTTCCTCTTTACAAGTACTATACTCAGATAAATCCAACCTAAGGGCACAAGTCCAAGCCCAAGCAGGAAACTTTGAGTCTGATTGACCACTTCAAAATAATGTCGTCCAATTCAAAACAACGTCGTCCAATCAGAGAAGGGCAATTAGCGTGACGGTTTCTGGCTGGCACATGAGAATCTTGCTACTCATTCCAGGCACTCAAATACTGTGGGATTTTGATTTTCTTTGAGGGCTAGCTCTGGTCCGTTTGGATGGATTTTCAATTGGAAGGTACAAGGAGAATTGTGCATCTTTTGACCTTTAAGTTAATGCTGTGAAGTTTGAAAGCAGAGCAATGCGATTTTTAAGGGGAAAATCACTTGGGCGCTTGAACCCTTTCAAAACAAGGCTTCCACCCTTGTCTTTCTTTTATGCATTACATTAACGACGAACTCAGACTTGCTCAAAATCACTCAAAAATACATTATTGAGGCAAAAGGACGACTATACACCCCAGGTAAAGTAATTCAACGTTTATTTATCAATGATTTATGCACATAGTCAGCAATATATCACTATAGGTGAGGCAAACAGCAAATCTCGTACATTCACTATAAAACAACAGTCGACTACACAAACAGATTGTATGGGCCCCCTGTGGTTATAGAAATGTATTTGTACACGATCCTCGCAGTAAAGAGCACTATTAAAGCAATAGTGAAAATCAGACCTGAAAAAATTCAGGCCTGTACAGGATTCGAACCACTGACCTCTGCAACACTAACGCAGTGCTCTACCAATACTCCCTTTGCTCGTTCTGCGAAATGCCGCCATTAATGCACTGCAGGCGCAAATGTAAACCTGAAATCGAGGCTATCCCTGTATAACACTTGAAAAAAAACAGCGCGAGAGTTTCGTTTTAGATTTGTAGTTGGCTCTATAAGCACTGTGAATGAACCAAAGCTCCACAGAAAACATAGACGTCGAGGGAAGCAGTGTTCAGTGGTAGCTTGTAATAATTTTGAATATCTAAGCGACGGAACACCATCGAAAATTCACTTCTTTAAGTTTCCAACCAAGCCATCGCTTCGAAATCCATGGTGCAATTTAATCAAGCGGCAGCACGGCAGAGACGGCTTTTATGTGAAACCTTCAACAGTTGTATGCGGCCATCATTTTAAGGAAAATGACCTATGAAAACCTCCGGGAGGAATGCGGTACAGGCTACGACTAGGTATGTTTTTGTATGCCCATAAGACTGCCCGTAAAAAGTGAGCTCTTGAGTTTTATGAAAGCTATATAAGTTTTAACTTAAGTTGAGCAAATTGCAATGCTTCTTTTCGTACGATTCACTTAGCTTTGAAGATTTTGAATACTTCTTTATTAATATAAGACTATTGAAGTATCAAGTTAAACTCAAGATTACTTTAAACTTTGGTGTTTATATTTTTCAGGAGCAGAGCCATCCATATTCCATAGTCGTAGAGTTGTACGAGGTTGAATGACGGTATATTTTGCAAGTCCTTGCTCCACTCACATCTCTGAGAGGCTTGATCTCTAGACAAAACTTCATACGTTATTTTGTGGTCACTTTTGTTGTTGGAAATCAATGATATCAGTGGCTGTTCTTGTTTTGAAACGTTGTCAGGCTCGAAGCAGACCACTTTTCTTTGATAAATAGCTTGACATCTTAGGACAAGATCAGCCTTCTTGCCGCCACATGGCTGGTTTTCTACTTTCAATATTTCTCTCAAATACTTGACCGTAAGCTTTTGAAAGTCCTCTATCTTCTGAATTGTGTCCATCAGGCAGCCTTCACCACATTTTTTGACTTAAATATTTACTACAAAGAGCTCTTATAAGTTAAAAAAATCAAAATTTTTACAAGCTTGCACTTGGTTTGTTTATATACTACAATGATATGATACAGGGTTAGCCTCATTTTCACGCTTGACAGTATCTGCAAACATTCGAACAGCGGTTATCAGCACAGAACGCGAAACTGGAGTATTGAGCTAACAAGCCAACTGGGAGCAGGTCATCAGATTAATTTGACAAAAACCTGTAAGATGATAAATCAAACACAATGAATATATGAAATTCATATATCTGAACTGCAGTCATAGAAACATTTGTGCACAATTGGCTTGTTAGCTCAATTGGTAGAGCGCTGCACTAGTATCACAGGGGTCAATGGTTTGAATCCCATAGGGGCCTGAATTTTTTCAGGTCTGATTTTCACTATTGCTTAAATAGTGCTCTTTACTGCGAGGATTGTGCACAAATACATTTCTATAACCGCAGTTCAGATATATGAATTTCATATATTCGTTGTGTTTGATTTATCATCTTACAGGTTTATGTCGCATTAATTTGATGACCAGCTCCCAGCTCGTTAGCTCAATTCGTAACAAACCAGGTTGTTAGCTCAATTCGTAGAGCGCTGCACTAGTATCGCAGAGGTCAGTGGTTCGAATCCTGTACAGGCCTGAATTTTTTCAGGTCTGATTTTCATCTTTGCTTAAATAGTGCTCTTTACTGCAAGGATCATGCACAAATACATGGGTTTATTTTAATTACCTTTTCAACTTCTTGTAGACCTTTGATCATAAAGTTGTACTGCCTAAATGCAGCATCTAGGTACTTGGATGGCAAGCAGAAGATTACAATGAGAGGTACTTGTTGTTTCAGTGCCATTCTCTGAGCATAAAGCATGGCCCAATTGTCTGAAAATGGTAAAAAATACTAGATCTTTAAAACTGGATGAAATCAAGGCAAGTTGCACTTTTTCACTGATACTTTAACCAGTCTATTACAACTTTCAGGGCTTGACACTAATGGTAGCCCTCTAGCCAAAGACTAGTAGAAATTCAGTTTTGGCTAGTGGTTTTTGAATTCCACTGGCCAGTGTGGCTAGTAAACAAACTGAAATTGT